AGGGAGGGAGGGAGGGAGGAAGGAAGGAAGGGTTTGTTTGGGCTCTCAGTTTGAGGGTTCACAGTCCAGAGAAGGCATGTGAGCCAGAGCTTGTGTCAGCTAATTATATTGGCCTAGAGTGAGGGAGGAGGGGGGAGAAAGAAGGAAGACAGAGGAGAGGGGAGAATGCTACCTGTCCCAGTAGCAGGGCCTGGAGTCATGTCCTGTCCTGACTCTCTTGTTCCCACACTATGCTCTTGAGGGGCCCAAGTCACATCCTCTGTCATTTGAGCCACCAGCAAGTGCAGGGATCCAGAGTCCCAGCCATCCATTCCTCTCCAGCTGCCTGTTCCCTTGCTTGACCTACGGCCCACATGGTCACCTTCCTGTGCCACTTCCTCCCCAGCTTCTCAGACACCCTGGAGTGGGGCTAGGAATGGGACAGTAGCGATTTGGCCTCAGCTCCCATGCACACAATCCGACCTCAAAGAGAGACAGTCCCCAGGGTTTACACCCTCCTCTACCACCTTGACACAGGATGGCTTCAAGCAAACCTCGAGAAATGCAGCTTCCTACACCAGAACTGTGAAACTCCATCTGTGCCTGGAATCTCCATGTGAGCTAACATCTGTGCCAGTGTGGGGTCCCCACTGCACTTCTTCCATGGGGTACCAATGTCATCATGGTTCCAGCTGCCCACTTTGCTCAAGGGTAACCCAGAATCCTAGGAAGTTGGTCGGCCCAGGGTCACCCGGGTTGAGGAAATGGGAGCTCCCAACATCTCAGCCATTTAGCTCCTAGGACCAAAATCAGACTTTTCACAGGCCCCAAGCTCTCCTGGATTTGATCTGATAATGCTTTCTATTACAGCCTCTAAATTCCACCTTCTTCTGTTTCCCCCTCAGAGCTACTTGCAAACTTTTACATTCCACGTGGTCTCTTTAAATTAAAAGGTTATGTGTATGAGTGTTTTGTCTGCGTATATGTACCACATAATTCCCTGATGCCCAAGGGCAAAAGAGAGGGACCTGGAGCTACTGAAACGAGCCACTGATGACTGTGAATTGCCATGTGTCTTAGTTTGGGTTTTATTGCCATGAAGAGCCACCATGACCAAGGCAACTCCTATAAAATAAAACATCTAACTGGGGCTGACTTACAGTTTCAGAGGTTTAGTCCATTATCATCATGGCGGGAGGCATGGCGGTGTGCAGGCAGACACGGTGCTGGAGAAGGAGCTGAACTTCGGGCAGCAAGCTTACGTCTCTATGAGCATGTATGAAACCTCAAAGCCTGCCTCCACGGTGATCATACGTCCCTAAGAAGGCCTCACCTCCTCCAACAAGGCCACACCTCCTAATAGTGCCAATTCCCTATGGTCCAAGCACAGGAGTCTATGGGGGGGGGGCATACCTATTCAAACCACCACTCCAGGTGAATGCTGGGAACAGAGCCAGGTCTCCTCAAAGCAACAAGTGCTCTTAACCCATTGCCATCTCTCCAACCTCTCCCCATCACATGCCCTCTTCCCTCCACCCAACTTTACATACATATTAGTGATAGCAAGGGGAACAGACTCGTTGCTGCCATGAACTTCTATTCTAATAGGGGCAAAGGCTATACACAAGGATGGGCATGGTGCATCTGAAAAAGGAAAAAATGCTGGAGGGGAGCCAGGGTCTGGGCTGGTAGTGTAGTTAGTAGCACATTACAGACATGGGCTGAAGAGGAACCACTGGAAGGTGGGGAAAGGGTGGCTCCGCATCCTGTTGACTAGCTGCTGCATGGGAAGATGCAAAGACAACCTTGAGGAGGAGCCAGTGTGGTCACCTTTGCCCAAAGCAGGAGGCCGAGTCTGGATTTTTCCTCTTGTATTTTATTTGCATGTAATCATTCCACTGAAGTATTTTACAATCGAGATGTCATGGTGAGGTCATGCCAGCAGCTTGAAGGTGGGAAAATGGATTTGAGAAGAGTCTGATCCCTGTACTATCCTCAATCTCAGTCCCCAGGAGAGGGGCGCCTCCACACCCCACACTCAGCCATCCCAACTCCTCTCCTTTTTAGGGTCTCAGACAAGATGTCAGGCCCTGTCCCCGGCATTCCTTGAAGGAGCCTTCTTCCCAAACGGTGGCCATTGCTACCCAGACACCTGTCTCAGCACCTCCCAAGCTATTTGGTCCTTGTGTCCTTCCCCCCATTCCAAAAGCTTCTTAGAGTGGGCAGAATTTCTACTTCTCTACCCTCATGACAGGCCTGGAATTGTCAGTCCCTGATGTCGATGAATGAGCACCCTTCCAAGAGAGCGGTATTTCCTTCAAGCCCCAGCAATACCCTTTTATGGCCCCAACGCTCTGCTTCCGGACACAACACTGACTGGGACTCACTCACCCTCTGTAACTTATCCACTTCCAATATAGAAGCTGGCCCCATAGGTGAGAGATTAGGATATCACATAGCAGCCTGGTCCTCCGTGCTGAGTGTCGCCCTGGCCCCCCTCCCACAACAGCTGTTATTAAGATATCTTTCCAGGTTGGAAGCAGTCTCTGAGCTGACAGGACCCTCCAGAAGGTGACGAACTCTTAGCTTAGCCCAGCCACACCGATTTGTCTGCCCCCTCCCTGATGTTCCACACCTCAGATGCCCCCACTCTCTGCCACCCACTATGTCCACTTTCTACACATGCATGGGCTGGGGAAGGAAAGGCTAGGTGGGCTGGGGAAGAACTCAGGGGCCTGGTTCCCAGGCCCTCTGCTGACCCTACTGCCTTTATGTGCTCTGCTTTCTCAATCCAGGCTTTAACCTCTGGTGTTGCTAGATGCTGCTACAGCTCCTGGAACTCTCCCTGGAATTTTCTTAGGCCTAAGTCTGTGTGTGTGTTTTTTAAATCTCTGAACCCCTGCTGCTCAGCTCTGCACATGGCACACAGTATGGGCTCAATACATGTATGTTGGGTGAAGGCAGCCCCATGTGTGTTCTCTACCACTGTACAAAACTAACTGTCTTCCACAATGCCTCCTGGGGAGGGGATAGGGGTAAGTGACCACATTGCCATGGCCTCCGAGTCTGGCCCAAGTGCAGAGAACCTGGCAGTATTAGTGAATAAATACCAGCATCATCTGCTAGGTACCGCTGTGCAGCCAACCACACCCAGGCCTTCCTGTATGAAGCTCATGGCCCTGTGTGCTGCACCTCGGCCTGGGCTCCGCTGGGCTCGTCCATGCTTCCGAAGTCTCTGCTGGGCCCAGTGATCTGCTCATGCTGACCCAGCCTGCTCTCAACATCCAGGAGGTGGAGTCCAGGCTTCTTCCTGGTGGATGTAGGTGTCCTGGACCTGTCCTGGACCTCGGAGGCCAATGCCTGCACTTCAGACCTTCACTTTTGCTCCATTGCTGAGCAGAGTCCCAGATTCAAGGGATGGAAAGGAGACTCCTCCCTATCATGCTAGAGCATGGAAAGCATGTGCCACCACGCAGGGAGGCAAGCATGGTCGCGGCTGTGTCTGCCACCCCCGTTCCTTTGACACCACGGACTTCAGACTCCATCCCTATTGTTTACTAGACTGAAGTCCCACGGGCCCAGAGGCTTCTCAATCGGGGGGCGGGGATTGGGGCACCTTGGACCCACTGTCCCAGATCTGCCCTCCATTTCTCGGTGTCTCTTAACCATGACATCCTTGTGGCAGCGCTGCACACCTGGGTTCTAACTGTGCCCCGCCTCCTGAGACAGGAGGACAGGCTGCTTCCTGCTGGAGGATTTACAGAGGGCAGACCTGGTGAGGCTCTTTCTTGGGGCCGTGCTTTCTAGGACACCTGCTTTGTTTCCAGCCAGATGTGTGTGTGGTTCCCCAGTCAGACATACCCTGACTTGGACTCAGAATATGGGAGAGTTTAGGCTACATCCTGGGGCTCTCCTCTTCCTGGGAAAAGAGTCTGGGACCACCTTTCAACTCCATCCCTCTGTGTCCCTCTGTTTTCTTTTCCTTTTCAAAATTTTTAAACATTTCATTGAGGCAGAATCTCGGGTAGTCCAGGCTAGTCTTGAACTTACCATGTAGTGGAGGCTGCCCCTGAACTCCTTGCCTCTCCGGCCCCCACCTCTCAAATGCTGGAATTATGGGATGCCTCACACTCCTGCTCCCTTGCTTTTTTGCTTCCTAGCACTTCTGTCGGAATGTCTCACTTAATTGCCAGATACCATGCTTGGTCTGTTTCCATTTCTCACCTCCAGTGCCCACACTGAGTGAGAAGACTCCCTGGACAACAGTGCTGAGCTGCAGGAGCCTGAGGGCTGCCGGGAGATGTCAGAGACAGCTTCCCAGAAGGACTAGGACTAGAGCAGGTGCCCAGTGACAGGGGGATGGTGGCCTCCCTAGCACCTGAGTTTGTGCCTGCCGCACTGGGGCCTGCTGAGGAAGAGCTGTTTGAAGGCTTTCTCGTAGGTGTCCAGGTGCTCCTTGAAGCAGTACACAGACTGCCTGTCACACTCACAGGCCTTCTGCCCGCAGAAGCAGCTGCCCCCCAGGGTGCTTCCACCTGCGGAGACACACAGAGTCACTGGGGCTCCCTGCCCCCTCCAAAGCTGGGCTCTAAGGTGGGGGAAGGGCAGGGGTGGGGGTGGACAACAAGAAGGAAAGAAGCAGAAGTGCTTTTTCTTCGCCCGCAGCCCTCCCCCAAGCGCCCTCACACATCCTCTCATGCCACAGTGAGCAGACACCTAGAAGGAGGTAAAGGGGTTGCGGAGGAGGGGCTGCATGTTGCGGGGTGCGTTACTGCACCCAGGCAGCACATTGGCCAAGATGACAGGTAGGACTCAACTTCTTCCCCCCACCCCCATTTCCTATCCAGACACTGACTTGACATAGCAGCTAAGATGACAGGCAGGACTCGCCCCGCCCCACCCCACCCCCTGCCCATCTCCTATCCAGGCAATGGCTTGTCCTGTCTCCAACTGCAGATGTTCGAACTACCCTGACCATTTGTGCCATGGTCACTGAGCCTGACACCTCTACAACCTTAGAAATGGCCCTGACTGACCCCAGTATCTCTCTAGGGGGCCTTCTCTCCTTTCCCTTCCTGTTTCCCATCTGTTGGCAAGTCCCTTGGATGCCCCTGTGTTTAAACCGCTTCATGCTTGGCCCTCTTTTGTCCGTCACCCTGGCCTCTACCCACACTCTTGCCCCTCTCCACACCCCTGTCACCACCACCAGAGGAAATTAACAGGTAGTCTCAAAATGTCACCCAAATCACATTCACACTCCTGTTTAAAGACTTGCTATGGTTTCCTGGTCTCTGCAAAAGAGGTGACAGTCCCTTTTTGGCAGTCCAAGGCCTGCCTGTCACAACATGACTGTGCCAGCCTCCCCTTCCTCACAGAACTGCCACTCTCCCACCCCCAGTCTGCTCCAGGCACAGGGGCCTCTGGGAGTTCAAGTATCACATTCTGCCTTGTCCCAGGGCCTCTGCACATGCTCTTCTCATGAGCCCATCTCTCCAGCATCTCTCAGTGGTGAGATCCATAGGCCATTTGGGTCTTGATGGAATCTGAGGCCTTCAGAGAGGGTTACCCAAGCCACTTGGTCTAAAGCTCCCCCCAACCTCTCCCTCCCAGGTCCTCTTGCTGATTTCATTTGCATACTGACTTGCTGTGCCCTCCTCTGTCCTGTATGAGGCTCCACCAGCGGGGACTCTGGGTTATCATAGCGTCTCCACTGTGCAGAACAGAGGCCGGCCCATGGGAGTCTCAGGATACTGTTGCAGAAAAGCGAATAAAGCCCTGGGGACTTTGGGATCTGGTAGAGACCCATGAGCTGAAGGGCAAGCAGATTGGAGCCTTCTGTTGAGTAGTCCCAGGCCTAATGGTTTGTGTGTGTGTGTGTGTGCACATACATGTGCATGCGTGAGCCTATAACTAGGGTAACTGGAGGCACAGCCCCTTTCTATAAAACTCCCCAGATCTGCTCTCCAAGTGAGGAAGGAGGCTGTTTGTGTTATGCAGCTGGTTAATCTGAGCGTCTCCCTGGAAAAATTGACGTTGACTATAGTCAAAAAATAATCAGCATAATAAGGACCCTTGTAGGATGCTGATCACCTTGGCTGCTGTTCACACGGTGTGTGCCTTGGACCCTTGGCCTCTACATACACAAAAGAAGCAAGGCCCTGTCGTGGACCAGCGAAGGCTATTTCTTTGCTGCCCTCCCTCTCCACAGCCTGCATTACCACTGGAGCTGTTCTCTCACTGCTGTCTGCAGCCTCGATTTCTCAGGGCAGGCACCGCCACCCCATGCCTCAGCTGCCCCTCACCACACACCCTCGGGAAGGTGCCAAGGATGTTCATGCCACTCCTACTCTTCCTTACGCCTGCACCCTTTGGCCCTCTCACATACCCTTCTCCATCTGTGAACGTCTGCCCAGATCCATCAAGTCCCAGCCCCCCTATGGCTCTTCCCACCTCTCAACCCCGCCCTGTCCACAGCATATCTCTGTGCTGCCTCGGCCACAGCTGCCTGAATTCGGGCCTCTGGTGCCCATCCTATGACCCCGGAAGCCAAGTTCTGGACGCAAGTGTGTAACTCACACTTTATGATCTTAGGCAAGATGCTGCTTCTCCCAAAGCTTGTCTCCTCAGCTTTTAAATGGGATAAACACTCGGGCATCGCCTACTGAATGGGAGTCTTCACCCAGTCACTCATTCAAACAGGCATCAAGCTACTGGCACACAACTTGCCTTTGTCTAGAAACTGGGGGTACAGACAGGAGCAAGCACCCATCCAGACTGTATCCAAGAGCAGCACTCCATAAGGATCCTGAGAATGAGTGCCCCTATAATGAATAGGAAGCGTCCCCCACAGGTCCCCAGAAGGTGGTGCTGTCTGGGGGGAAGTAGTGGAAACTTCAGGAAGCTGGAGGGGGTAGATCCCTGGAGGGTGATTTTGGAAGTGCCATTTTTGTCCTGGCCTTTCTCCACGGCCAGGACATCTGCTCGGAGATGAATTCTCTGCCACAGGTTCTCGTCACAATGACCCACATCACCACCGGCCCACAAAGAACAGAGTCAAGGATGATGGACTCAGACCTGCGAAACTGTGAGCCCCAAATCAATCCTTGTGAGCTTTTAAGTCGTTCTCTTGGACCATACCAATGGAAAAACCCGATTAACACAGAAAACCAGCTTGAGGGCTTTTGGAGATGAACTAAATGCATTTTACAACATAAGATGAGCAGGATGCCTTGCGGGCAGAGGCACGGTGTTGCAGGCTGTGAAAAGTCCCTATAGGCCTGTGTTGAAGGTCCGGGTCCTTGGCTGGCAGTGCCATTCCGAAAGTGATGGAGGCTTTAGCTGGGGGCAAGTCTAGCTGAAGGAGAGAGCTCCCTGTCAGCCAAGACTTTGGGGGCTGTGGGTTGCCCTCTGCATGTCTTCTGCTCAGAGACATGGGGCCAACTAATGGCTGAACTCCTAGCAACTGTGAGTCAAGTTAAGTCAAGTGGGAAACGTCCGGTGTTTTGTCACGGCCACTGGTAAAGTAGTGAACACAGTACGGCTCTCAGAGAACGTACATTCCAGCTGGGAGGGAGGGTCCCGGGGAGATGAGTGCTGGGAGAGAAGGGGTGTGTACCAGGCAGTAGAGGCTGGTGTGAAGAATGCACAGAGTGGTGAGAAACGTCTTTACAAACTAGACTTCCAGAAGTTGCCACTTCTGCACCTTCATCTCCCAGGGGCGGAGAGTCCGAGGCCTCCAGAGGCAAATGACATGGGTACAGGTGGCCGGAACTAGTCTCTACCCCGCACAGGCAGGCTCCACCCTACACCCATATGCATGCATGTGTGGGTGCGAGGGGTGTCACTGCACTCATCTTAAAGCCCCTTGTGAACGCCAGGCACTTAGATAAATCTCCTCCTCAGGAGGAGGAGGAGACCTCTGTCAGCCATGTTAGGGCTGTTTTCTCCTTCAAGAAAACTGGCCCTGGGCTCCGTCCAAGACCTTGCTGAGTACTGATCTCTGGGTGGCCTTTCAAGCTGTGGACACCAAGCTCTCTCTCCCCAGCCCTCACCTACCACACCACACCCTCCCTACAGCCCTCCCTGACACTGGTTGCTAGGCAACTCGGGACCAGTTTGGATGCAGGATTTCACAACTGCTGGAGGCATTAACTCTTCCCGGGCAGCCCTTTCATCGGCTTGCTGTGTGGCCTAGGCTGGGCTGGGGTGGGGTGGGAGGCTTAATTCCATAAGGGTGCAGGGGGCAAGTACAGGGCAGACTTCAAAGGAACTGTAATGAAGACAATGAGGGGAGAGTGGGCTGGAGAGATGGCTCAGCGGTTCTGAGCACCTGCTGCTCTTCCGGAGGACCTGGGTTCCGTTTCTAACAGCTGCGTGGCAGCTCACAACCGTCTGGAACTCCAGTTTCAGGGGATCTGTCGCCCCCTTTTGGCTTCTGCCGGCACTGCATGCACATGGTGCACAGACACACATGTAGGCAAAGCACTTCTACACATAAAATTAAAACATAAAATAAACTAAAAGCCAGTCCTGATTGCCCCCCCCCCCCAAAACACACACAAAGTAAAAAAGCATGACTGGGCCAAAGCAGAAATCCCCACTAAACCCATGCAGTGGGCCGGCCTCTCCAGGGTCTCACAAGAGGGGTTATACTTGCCCATCACTCAGCGGTGTGTGTGATTTCACCCCTTTCCAAGGATGGGGAGACTAAGGCTTGGCTGGGAGGGTGAGGCTGAACTGGAATGCTGAGGCCCCATCGCAGGAATGAGTGAAAAAGATCTGGGGTATTGGGCTAGACCAAGGTCATTTCCTGGGCTTCCCCACCAGGACAGAGCATCTCACTGGTTGTCTGAGGCCACGAGACTTGCATGCGGACAACAACCCTCCCCCCAAGTAGATGCCTTCCCTTTAGGCAGGATAGCGGGGAGGCAGAACCACCTGGGCCCAAAGCTCCATCCATCCTTTCCCTGGCTGTGTGAACTTGGACATCCCAATGAACCTCTCTGAGCCTTGACATCCTGTGCAGTCATGGGGAGAAAGGTGCCCACCTCAGAGGTCTCTCCTGGGGAGCCAAGGAGAGGTGCACAGAGCAGTTATCACCAGCTTTACACAGAGGTAGCTGCTGCCCTCACTTCACGGGTGAGAAAACCGAGGGCCTCCAAACCAAGGCATCTCAAGCTGGACAGGAAGTTCCAGAGCCCAGGAAAGGCTCAGCGGGCAAGTCTCCATCGTCCCTGTCCCTCAGCTGGAGAAGCCCTCTGCGGGCCTCAGCCCCCCCACAGCATCAGTGAGGGGCTGTCGGGGATGATCTCCAAGGGCATTTTCTGCTCTGGAGTTTTCCTAAGCTGCTGATCTTGGGAGGACAGGGTCTGGGCCTCCCTCACTCTGCGTCTGGCTTTGGGGTGACAGTGGCAGCAGGTGCTCAGCCAACCAAGGGTGCATGGGAGGCTGTGCTTGCCTGTCAGTCCACAGCAGCGGCAGCAGGCTCGGCAGCAGAACCCAGGCCGTGTAGTTCTAGGACCCCTGGACGACGACATTCTCAAGAGCCTCATTCTCAAGAGCCCTGGGCTGCATGTGGGGACAGGGGCTTGGCCTCAGCCTCAGCAGCAGAGGTTCCCTTTATGTACTAGGGCCCTCTGCCAGCTGTGCAGAGCTGTATATTAGACAGACTGAACCAAACACAATCTTCTATTGTGCTGGTCTGAGCCTCCAGCCTGCCACATTTCCAATCCCATAGTGGATGCCAGGGAGAAATCAGAGTCCTGAGCCTGTGTCTTCCTATATGCTGTACTACAGCTCTGGGCAGGGAACTGGGCACCCAGTGTGGAGTCATACATCCCCTATCCTGGGATATGAGTCCTAAGCTCTCTGACCCTGGAGGAGGCAGGTGGATGCCCAGAAACACAGCTGTGCATACACCTGGGAGGAAGTGGCTCTCTATGCCCTAAGGCCTGACAGAAGTTGAGCTATTCCCTCTGAGAAAAAAGAAGCCACCCACTGGGCTGGGATACAAGGCTGCAACAAAGGCTCATGCCCACAGCCTTCAAGCTTTTTAGGCCAGACTCTCCATCCACGTGCCCACACCCCCAGCCCCATGATACTCCTCTTGGGTGGACATTCTGTGCACCCACCCTTCCACATCCCTCCCTCTTCCCCTCTGGGCAGCGCCCACTCCTAGTGACTTTTCTGTCCCTACCCATCTTGGTCACGGTGCACAGCATGCAGTCACCCTTAACAAATATCTGTTCAACCGAAAGGCTTGTTAACACGTGACAGCAAATGCAAAAAGAACATGGCTGGGGCTGGGTTGATAACTCAGTGGCTGAAGCACTTGGGAGTTCAGACACCTGGACACCCAATGCTGGGAGGTGGCGGTGGCCTGCCTATAATCCCAGCCCTTGAAGGATCCACACAGTGAGCGTGCCACATCCTCGGCCGGCTGAGGGTTTGACTGAGATTCTGCTTCAGTCAATCAACAGGCCCTAACCTCATCCTCAAGCCTCCATCTGCATGTGCCCACAGCAAGCATGCCTATATGAGCCAGGCATAGTGGCGCACACCTTTGATCCCAGCACTTTGCAGGCACAGGCAGGAGGGTCTCTGAGTTCGAGGCCAGCCTGGTCTATAGAGCAAGTTCCAGGATAGCTAGGGCTACCCAGAGAAACCCTGTCTCAACAACAACAACAACAACAACAACAATATGGAATGCTCTCAATATTGGTCCATAATGTACCAATATTTCCTGGTGGGCTGAAAGTCAGTGTTGGGCAGAAGGGACCAGGAGAAACCAAGCAAGGACTCTCCAAGAAGCTCTGACTCTCAGACTACAACCCTACCTCACGCCGCTGTTTTTGTCTCAAAGCGCTTTAGAGTCTTATTCCCTAACACAGGACAACCAGTGGGCCAATAAGGAGGTGGCCATTAAGGACCAACCCAGATGACACTGTTTACCACAGGGAGGACTGACTACTCACAGGCCACAGTCCCATTGACAATGCTGAATTGATAGCTGTGCAAGATGGGCTGGCAGCCATTCTCCTTAAGCTTGTGGTAGCAGCAGTCGTGAGCCCAGCAGCACCTGGTAGTGGGGAGAGGGCAGTGAGGAACTGTGGCTATGTGTGGTGCCCCCGGGGAGTCAGCGAGAGGACACTGGGCGAGACCTGGGAGGGACTTGACCTGTTCCCTTCTTTGGGCAGGAAGTGGCTGGAGTTGGGGAGGTGAGTTACTGATACAGCTGTCCTTTCCTGGATGTCCCCATGTCTAAATGGGCTCTCAGCCCTTGCTGGCCCTGGGCTGATGGTCTGCAGTATTGAATCTACCTTGGCCTCCAACAGGCAAGGTACAGGAGGTGGGCAATGGCAGGATTGGCAGGCAATGGCAGGCAACACAGGCAATGGGTATGTCTGTGTTGCAGGCCGGGCTCTGCTGCTTTCCCAGGGGGGGGGTGGGTGGCCGAGCGGCCCTTCGTCTGGGATCTCTTCTCAGCTGTGGGGTGGGCTGCAGTGGGGATGCTGCCTCCGCATTCATTACGAGGCCAGTGCTTCTCAACCTGCGGGTGGCGACCCCTGTGGAGGTTGCGTATCAGGTTAACCTCCATCTCTGATATTTACGGTAGCAACATCACAGTTCTGAAGTAGCAATGACATAATTTTATGGTTGGGGGTCATCACAACATGAGGAACTGCACTGAAGGGTCACATCATCAAGGTTGAGAATCACTGTGCAGGGCCCGCCTCTAAGGACATGCCAGGAGACATTTCCCTTCTTATTTCTTCAAATGGGAAAAGACACACACTATCGTCTCCCCACTGTGTCCTCCCCAGATTACACTAACTTCCACTCTTTTTTTTTTTTTTTTTCTAGCATCCCACACCACCCCCCCTCAAACCCTCGGAGCTGTCCTGGAAGCCAACTTTGTATGGTGTGACTGCCTCCAGATGGACAACTTTTTCGAACTGGGCCACTTGGCTTCACTTTCCTAAAATATGGAATGAGGTTGGGAGAAGGCAGGGCAGTCTCGCTGGCCCATAATCCTAAAATTGGAGCATCTGAGCAACGATCTCCTTTGCCAGATGAAAGGGAAGAGCTCTGGGCAGGACCGACTGTAACACTGGGGCCTTTGATTGAGCCTATCAGGTTGGGGTTTAGGGTGTATTTCAGTGGTATGGCTGTCCAGCAGGGACAGGGTTCTAAGTTTTAACTGTACGTGGTGGTGGCCTAGGATGTGAACACTTGGGAGGCTGAGGCAGGAGGATCCAGAGTTCAAGTCCAACCTAGACTATGGAGTAAGTTAGAGGCCAATGTGAGTTAGGAGTAAGACCCTGTCTCAAGATGGTAACAGCATACAAGCTACTCCACAGAGCCCTGGGCAGTGTAGAGGGTCACACAGGGGGAGGTGGCTCAGTTCTGGCTTCCTCGAGGCTGGCCCTGCAACTCCTTTCAGTCCCATGCTGCCTTGTAATTGCTTCTTCAGGACTTCTAATCCCCTCTTCCCTGGCTGTAAGCCTGGGCTTCAGTGCAAATGCAATAGGGGGCTAGTCCAGACCTTCCACCTCACCTGTCTGTGGCGTCCACAGGGATCCCTCTGCCCCCAAGCCCACAGTAGCAGCCGTAGCCATAATAGGAGAAGAAGGCGCTGCGCCCGGTGACATGTTTGACCATCCTCTGGAACTGCCAGAAGCTGCTGAGGGTGGAGGTTGTCCCTGCCAAGGAGAAAACAACCAACAAGAAGAGCCTGAGGGCCCAGAGGCCTACCAGAGTGCTGGCAGTTAGGCCAGAGTCCTCCCTGGAGGCATCAGCTTTCTTCACAGGCAAGCGCAACTCCATTACCCAGAAAGTCTTGCTAACCAGGATGGGGCCCAGGCTCCCCAGCACTCTTTCGGATGAGCTATGTCCTCAGTCCTGCATTTGATTTTTTAATTACAAGCTTATATTTGGTTTGCAATAGAAATATAGCAAAAGCAGAAACTCAAAGAAGGAAAATAATCAAGCTTGCTCCCGCCTCAGTTCTGAGTTAGCTGCCTTGACCTGAACTCTCAGTCCTCCTCCCACCACTTCCCAAGTGCCAAGATTACAGGCATGTGCCACCACACTTGGCATGATTTGAAAACTGAAAAGCTCACTAGCAACTTGGGGAAAGAGAGAGACCTAAATTTTGGTATATCTGACTTACAGAACCCCAAGTTACTGTGGCACTTCTGAAGCCAGTAGGAAACTGGTTTTGGACAAACAGCTAACCTAGGCACTCAACTGAGGTTTTGTTTGTTTGCTTTTGTCTGCTTGTTTTGAAAAGACCTCAGATGGCTCCCTGGAAGCCCTTCACTCTGCAGTGGCTCAATTTTACTGAGTGATCCACTAGCCATCACCAGGATGCCTTCCCTGAAAGAATTACTCTAGCTTGCTAGAATCATGCCTACCTGTTTGCACTGCAATACACATAGCTTTAAATAAAGGCAACAAGAAAGCCTCCCAAGCCGGAGCTGCTGACACCACAGCCGAATGTCATTTTCCAGTGTGTGGCCGGCGTCCCTGGATTCCCAGGCATTCTTCTGCGGGCCTGGCATTGTGATCAGCCCCAGCAGAGAGCAGAACCAGGACCTGGGTATCCTCCCTTCACCCAGTGCTACCCAGGAGGGACCACCCCTGTGACATAGCCATAAAGACGGCCCCCTCCACTCTCCCAGGTGGCTTCACTTACAGCAGAAAATGAAGACAATGAAAACAGCAATGCCCTTCATTCCTGAAGAGACCAGGAGGTCCAGGGTGCCAGGGTCCCACCTTCATCTGCCAGTTCAGCTCCTGTTTGGGGAGGGAGTAAGGGAAGAGGCCATTTGGGTACAAACTGCCAATACAGTGCAGGCCTTTGGGTCCCCTAAGCACAGGCTCCAAGAGACCTTTGCCAGAACTAATGATGTCTGAATAGGACCCCTTCCTGACACTTTGGCCCAGATGTAAAACGTAAGAAGGGCTCAACTGTTTGAAAATGGCAAGTGCTAAGGGGGTCTTTCTCTGGCAATACTTTCACTCTGCCTTTTTTCCCCCTCTTTGGAGGAGTCGGCAGGTCCTGGGTTCCCAGGTTAAAATGACATATATGGTTTCCATCATGGAAGCGTGGTTCAGGAAAACTGGGTTTATTAGCATCCTCTGCCATTTGCATGTTTCTCCTTTGATCTCCTGGTACCAGAGCTGCAAGCTCACCCCCCCCCACTCACTGACCGAAGCTTGGTTTCTCTTGCTGGCACCTGAGAGCAAAACCTCTGTGAATAATGCCAAAGCTCAAAGTCATTACATGGAGAGACCCTCACATCAGCTTCAGAATTTCTCTATCTCCACTTAGGAGATGGGATAAGGCTGGGAATGTGGCTCAGCTCAAGTGCTTGCCTAGTACCCCAAGGCCCTGGATTCCACAGCCTGTGATCCATGGGATCCTATCTAAAAAACAAACAAACAAACAAACAACAACAAAAACAGATGGCTGGCTGGCTGGCTCGATGGCTCGAAATAACAGGCACATAGAGAATGAAAAAAAAAAAAATCTTAAAGATGACCACTCCCATGGACCTGTGGTGGGACCAGCTGGAATAAGATGTTCATGACTAAAACCAAAATCACACGATGCTGTGTTCACACTGAAGTGTAACGAGGAGACTCTGGAAGACACGCTTCCATGGAGCAATGGAGGAGAGTGTGGGCATCTGGCCCTCCACTGAGCGGCCCCACCGTCAGCACACAGCCTGCTTGTGGTTCAAGTGTTCTCCACAGCCTCATGACACATCAGGCTACATGTGACTGCCTAGGTCATGGCAAAGAGAAAAATAGCTGATCGGAACCTTAGGAATTTGGCAGGTCCAAAGGTTTTTTTATTTTTATTTTTTTACTCTGTGGTGAACTTTTCCAGGAAAACTTCAAAATGTCAGTCCCATGGCAAGAGCTCTGGGAGAGCTCACCTGGTGTCCCAGCCACTTTACCTTTTTTTTTGGGGGGGGGGGCAACGTTGTTGGATGCTGAGAGGCTGGGGCCCCCTGACCAGGCTGGCCCTGGCCAATTATCATTTCAACAGCTGTACAAGTTTTTCTAATTACGTTCTGTTTCCGTGGGAACCTGACAAAACCATGTCCAGGTTTGGGATACAAAAAACGGATGCGTGTCTTTTGAACCAGCAGGTGATGCTACTTCAGATATAAAGGAGCCTGGGGTGCGTTCCTGGTAATGAAATCCGACTGAAGTCCCAACTGTGTGCTCAGCTAATGAGAAGATCCCAAGGAAGGTCTGAAGGCTTCGGAGCTGACTACAGATAAACAGAGGCTAGGCACAGACCAAGAGCCCAACAGCACTGCACCCAAGCACAGCTGCTGACTTTGGCATTGTGCAGGAGGCAGCGACAGCAGGCAGCAATGAACTCTGAGTCAATGTCAAAGAGAGTTGGAGCTGTCCCAATGTTTCCTGTCAATGGACCCAAGCTCCAGGACCCCGAGCTTCCTGTCTGTGAAGTGGAGTCAGTCGCCTTTGTCTTCTGTGGCACCAGCAAGATTCTAGAGGCTCCTGGTGTGAAAGCACTTGGTCAATATGGGGCCAAGGTGAGTGACAGTTTGGTATATTCCTCTTAACAAGACAGGAAGTGTCAAGACTCATTTGGATATGTTCCAGTGACATGCAGGAAACAATGGAACACTGCATTGGCCCCATTTTATTATCCAGAAACTTCTTTGTTGACAGTCTCTGGAGAAGCTGATTTCTAAGGAGCCATTATGCATAGCCATGCAGCCTGATGGCCTTGTTACTAGATTATGTACTTTCTTCTTAAATGTTACCTGCGCTCTCAATCTAGGGGCCTAGCAAAGTCAACACTGGCTACACACTCTGAAATCTAGAAATCACTAGTTCAAAAAGAGTCAGACTCTCTGGGAACAAGGTGAGAGGTCACGACTAAACCACCTGCCTTCAGCCAGCCCCAAGGGAGGCCATTTCCAGCCCAAGCTTGTTAGCCTTAGGGTGCCAACTAGTGGCTTGTGGGTCTTTCATTAGAGTCAGCGTCACCACTGTCATCATCAGTTTCTCATTTGCTGGGCATCTACCCCAAACAGGCATTGTGTGGACTAAGGGTGGGATTGACAGTCCCCTGGGCAACTTACCACCTACAGGAGTGTGTCAGGGTAAGATGAAAACAAAGTACTTCCATGGGCCAGGCATCATGCTAAGACCTTTAATGGATTATCTAATTCATTCTCATAGCCATCAGTCTTAAAATGTCGATAGATGTGCAAACTCGTCGAAGAATTTAATTACATGGCCAAGGTGTCCCCATGGGTGGAACAAAGACTGAAACAGATGCTTAAATGCCAGCGTCCGTGCCTACGAGTCCTGTGGCCAGCTTAGCAGGGAGGTTCTGATGAAGTGGCACTCAGGAGTCTAAGAGTGGAGGTGGTCCATAGTGGGCTTTGGGACCAGCTGGTTAAAAGCTCCAAAATGGCTCCCTGAACACAGTTGTCTTTAAAGAAGCCCAATGAATGGTGTCTCTGTGTAACAGATTTACAGATACCCAAGGAGCTGACCTGGGAAAGGTACATGGTGCCATTTTTGGGCATCACAGACCAGAAGGAACCTAAAATAGAGCACTGAGGGCACCAGGGGACATAGTTGCTCAGGAAAGGCCTTCACAGGCCAGGTGACTTTTAAGACAAGGGCCTTGAAGGATCAAACAGTTTGGATTCACCTTGGAGAGGGAGAAGGTGGGACAGATGTGAACCAGGACAGTGGAGATGCAAACGCCAAGGGCCCATTTGGAGAAGAAGCTGGCTAGAGCCCAGGAGAGAGCTGGGGAGCAGAGGCATGGTTCAAAGGAAGGTGAGTCCACGAACAAGCAGACAGGAGAGTAGCCTCCAGCCATTTCCTGAGGATCTAGTGAGAGTGTGTGAATGTTCAGCGAGGGCATCGGGGGAACATGCTTTGAAGACACTCTCCGTGGTACAGGTCAGGAGATAAAGGCAGGGACTAGCTGGCTGCCTCTTCTTCCCCCTGCAGGGGGTGGGGGAGGGAGCTGCACCACACCATGCCAGAGAACAAAGACTCGTGGCTCTGCTGAACATGAAATGGACCACAGGCATAACCAGCCTTCCGCCATGCTCCAGCGAGGGCACACACGCCACTCTCACACAGTGGGGGAGCAAGGATTGAAACTGATTCGATTCTCAAAGGATTGCATAATTCTTAGGTGGTGCTAAAATAGCTGATGAAGGATCTACTTTAATCTTTTCTGAGTGGGCGCCGAAGGGCTGAAGAGCATCGCCTGGAGACTTCTGACAGAATCATTAACAAGATGTAAGCCAGCAGCAACACTGCAACGCAAAACAGCCAGCTTCTAAAAGTACCAGCCAGACCTTCCTGGGGCCATGGATGCCTCCTGGCTATCCAGAGACAGAATTTCCAGCCTAGCCAGGCCCCCATCCAAGGCCAGGTGCTCTCACAGGGTCAGCAGCTTCTTCTCTTGAGATGGGCTAGTACCCCATCACTGAAATGAACCCCTTCATGCCAGCTCCCAAAGAATATGCCATTGGTACCAAACACATCCTAGGTGATCACATCCAGCCCATGCCTGCGCTCCTACCTTTGGCTCAAACTATACTGAGAACAGTATTATTTATAACTGTACCACTGAACAGTGTGTCTTTCTGACCCAACTGTGATGTGCTGACAGGAGTTTAAAGCTGTGCTCAATATCAGAACCCCATCCTTACACACTCAGGACAAGGCAGGTAACAAATATGGGGTCATAATGTTAGGTAACGAATCTGTGGTTTAGTTGTCTTTTAGTAACTTCTATGGCCTCAATCACTATATTATTCTAAGGGTCGAGAGCAGAGCCCAACTGGGACTCCTTTGGAAGCAATGTTTGTTTTCTGAGACAAGATCTATGCAGTCCCGACTGTCTTAGAACTCACTCTGTAGACAAGGCTGGCCTCAAACTCAGAGATCCACCTGTCTCTGCCTCCCAACTGCTGGGATTAAAAAGAGTCTGCCACCACTGCCTACCTTTAATGCCATCTTAATGCCAGCTTGGAAGAAAGACTTCATTAGATGGAACAAAGACAGGGAGAAATTAGGTGAATGAAGGGACAAGAGAGGCTGAGAAAGAATCTTCAAGCCAAGGGTTCAACAGAAGCAAAGGTGCTGAGTAGGAGGTTTTTGGAGGAAAGATACGGTTTGGAATAGCCATTGGAGAGGGCAGAAACCTGAGGAGAGCCAACAGAAGGCTGGCCAGGGAGGGCTAGGGGGGTCTGATGGATGCTAGGGACAACATGTGTCCTTACATCCAGGTGTGTGACTTGCCATGTTTACCTTCACTGCTTGGTGTGGGTAGACACATTCCAGCTACGGCTCCATCGCACAGCTGGGATGACAGTAAGGCCAGGAGGACTCTTACCAACTGAAGGGTTGAAGTAGTGGAGAGAAAGCTGCCGGGCTGTGGGTCTCCAAATTTCAAAGCTTTTGGAAAACACGGCGAAGTGGCTGGAGCTGCTGCTGACCGTATCGTCGTTAGACTTAGAGGGTGGCCCCGAGCGGGAGTGTGACCTCTCTTACTCCCCCATGACAATATAACCTTGAAAAAAAAAAGGGCACTCGGATTCTAAGGGTCTCAGGAATGAGTCCCACGGGCAGGGTCAGGCCTCAAGGGTAGACAGGGTTTTGATGCTGGTCCTCAACCCCCACTCCAAGGCAGGGCTCCCTGTCCCCTGAACGCACCCTTCCCAGGAGAGAGAGTCAGGCCAGGTCAGGAAGAGAAGAGGAGGTGGCAGGGGCCCAGGCCCAGAGTCCTGTGGCCTCCATTGAGCAGGGCCACAGGCTAGTCCTGCGCCTGGAACCCGCCCTCCGTGCCCAGGTTTGTCCAAACCAGCTTGCGGTGGGCCGGTGCAGGCCAGGCAGGTTCCGGTCCCACCGGAAGCACGTGGCCCCCACCTCTCGGCGGTTGCCAGGGAGACGGGGCTGTTTACCAGCTGGTCGCAGCCAGGCACAGGAGGCGGATGGACCTGAGCTGCGAGGTGAGAGGCCCACTGTGGGTCCCCAGAAACTGAGAGCCAGACCTTTCGAGCGGCCTTTTCCCAGGGGCAGACCCAACCTGGCCGGAGCCTGAGCCTGCAGCAGCCAAGGGGCCTCCTGGGAGGGGCACATACAAACCATTCCCTGGACTCGGATCCGATCCGAAGAGAGACAGGGAGTCTGGGTCCTGTGCAGGCGCAGGAGCTGCAGGGAGCCTCCACAGCTCCACAGCTCCACAGCTCCGTGCCCTTTCATCAAGCCTGCCCTTACTCACATTCCAGCCTTCCGTGCCGTTCCCCGACACTCCTCCTTCCGCACTTTAAGTTTTGCTTCCAGGCCTGCCAGACCGAGGAAATAATAGAGGCCTCTCCCCCACCCTCTCACCTGCCCTTCTATTCTGGAATCAACCCCAGTTCCCTCCGCAAAGCCTAGCTCACTTGGTGGCTTGTGGTTTCCCGCATTCTAATCTCTGGTTGAGGGTAGCACCGGGAACGGTGTCATTCCTCTCTGTCCATCCCCCGGGGTTGGTTTTTTTAAGTAGTTTAATTTTGTAAGCCAAGCTGGGGACTAGAGAATGGCGGCAGGGGGGTGGTAGTAACTGATAAACAATTTTAAAAGACCAATGCATGTGTGTGTGTCCCGGTAGATGCAAGCAGATGGTTCGTAGGTGGTTACATTTTACTGCTCTCGCTGTAGGTTTAGATTTGGGCTGTGAAGTACCGCAGTCTGACCCCATGATGGCTTGTGGGCACCATTGGAAAACAACGGGAATCTTGCTTTAATTTCTACCCAGTGCCCCTTCCTTCCTGTTCGTGTGGTGATAATCCTAAGGAATGGGTACCTGCCCTTCTGGCACCATCTTAGAGCTGGTGCCCAGTGTTTTGTTTCCTGCTTCCTAGCAGACCTCTGCCTCCTAGCTATTGTGTTGAAGTAAACAGGCCACTTGCCTCTTGTGCTGGCAGCTTGATGGATGCCCACGCCTAGATCTTGTCAAATCACTTTGTGGTTGAGTGTCTGCCAGGCTCAGAGGTGGTGAAATGAGCCAAGCAGGGATTATGCTGTCGCAGAAGCCTGGACTGAGGGCACAGGCAGAGCTTGAGACCCAGGGTGTGACTACAGAGGCGCCATGAGTGCGCTTCTCCCTCCAAACACCTGTTTCCCGAAGCATCCTGGCCCTGTTCTGGGTGGGGATGGGAGCTGGTGTTCCCTCCGTGTAACAGATGGTCTCTACCCTGGGGAGGAGGCAGGCGGGTTATAAAAGCAGGTTGGATGTGACGGTTTTACCTGAAGGAGGTGTTAGTCTCTAAATAGCCATGAGTGGGCTCATGAGAATTAGTCATAATTGAGGTTCTTCTCTTGAGATAGCTTGCAGTCATGTTATCTTATGACCAGGGTTTCTTGAATATGACACCCCCTGAACATGGCTAATTATACAGAGTACCAAAAGGTATAGCAACTACACGCACACACTCAAGTTTGACTGTTAAAAATAACCCAGCATAGAGAGCGCCTGCCAGAACACATGACTTTCCTCATCAAAGTTGTTAGGGAGAGGTTTCTAAGTTACCAAACTTCCTGACAGTCCAACCTTCCCCAGGCATGTGTGGGTGTTGGAAGCCAAGCTTGTGATAATTCTGTAGAAGCTGTGGCAAATTAATAGCCATTCCCAAGTGAGGAGGGCAGAAGCTCAGCTGGGAGCGCATCTTCAGCTCAGCCGGACGGCTACGGCTTTCTGCTGCCACTCGGAACAAGAAACTCATGGGACGAAATAGTCTTCCTAGTTGATCAGAACAAGGCAGGTGTTTCTGGTGCCAAAACTGCTCAGGAAGAAGTTTCTGAACTTCTGCCCGCAGCCAGATTGAGCATGGAGAATGGAAGAGGGGAGTGGAGGGGGGTTTGGGTTGTGGATAGAGTGGGATGGCCCCCGAGCCAGAGGACTAGAGTTTGTGTCCCCGCACCCCACGTGAATGCCTGGTGGGTGTGTTAACTCACCTGTAATTCCAGCCCTGGAAGGCAGAGACAGGCTTCCCATAGCAATCTTGCAAGGGTAGCCAGATGCATGAGCTTGGGTTTGACTGAGAGATCCTGCCTCAGTAAATAAGGCATAAGGGCAATGGAGGGTGATTGCCAGCGACATCAACCTTGGGCCTTCCTATGCGCAGGTTTACCTGACTACACATGTGCCCACAAATGTACAAGACACATACACAAACATCACAAACGGAAAAAGGAGTGACTTATGAACGGGAAGGGAACTTTGTCTGAGATTTTGAACAGCGGGAATACATAGAGGTAATATATTTTGGCTCCTTGTGGTTTGGCTCCTGGTGGTCTGGCAAGGACGAGAACGCGCCTAGAGCAGCAGGGGTCACACAAAAGCCCACACACTTGGACTAGCGCTGTTGAGGACTGAGTGACGGAGGAGCCTGGAGGAAGTAAATTCTGAGGTGAGTGAAAGTGTGCAGTTGGGAGGAAATGATCAACCCAAGAAGCATAGTTTTGAGGCAACCGCGTGGGGGGAAGCTCTCTGACGTCAGCCTCCTGACTATTCTTTGCAGTGGACAGGGTAGATTTGGAGGCCTGGATTTCCCAGCTGTTTAGCACTGAGGAGAGCCATAGCCAACACCTTAGGGAAATTCTCTAAAGCAGGTAAGTGAATCCATGGGTCTCACATGTCCCAGGCTGGTTACAAATGTGGCCTGACAGGATTGTAGATAATGTCATATTGCAGTGTCAAAAGCTGAACACTCCTGTTGATGAGCAACAGGTACAGCGTTGACCTAGAATGGGCACACAAGACAGGCATACAACCAACATGGAGTCATACCCATCCATTTGGTTCTGCCCAGGACTATCTGGCGCAGGCAGAGCTGCCTGGGGTCTACAGACAGTACAGACTGAAAAGTCAAAACAGCCACTCTGTAGGTCTTTATATGTAGGCTTGCCAAACCCTTCTCCAGAACCTGAGCATCCCTCGTGAATTCTAGCTGGTGATAAGGGCAGCTAGAATTCCTCCCACCACTGACCAAAGCTACGTAGCTGCCACTGACCAAACCAGGGAGCCACATTCCGTGTGATTTGTGCGGAGCAAGATAAGGATGAAAACAAAGTAACTGGCAAAATGTGGGCAGTGAGGGAAGGAGGGCAGAGGAAGGCCTGTGGCAGAGGGAGAGTGGGAATTCCAGAGAGTGGCCTATCCATAGTGAAGGATGCCAAGGCAGACAGGGTCCCTTGTCTGGAGAAGTGACCCTGTCGTGGGGAATCAAGCCTGGTTGCCCTGCAGAGTGTCTTAAAAGGGTTATTCTCCCCTCTTTGAGCAAAGGTGTCTGCCCCAACACTGCCACCTCTTCGTCTGAGGTCTATGTAGGCCACTCCCTGAGGGAGCTTCCCATCCTGGGAGCCAGTGAGGGCTCTGGAGCTCAGTATTGTCCTGGGGGCACTTTTTTAGCTTGGGCCCAATCAAATTTCACAAGAGCATAGTGCGCTCTGTTGAGTGTGTGGCCAGGCCGGTTTGGCCCCAGCCTAGCAGACAGAACAAACAAATGCATCTGTGGAAAAAGTCGTCCGACCCCAGCTCTGGCCTGTCACATGGCTCGTTCCTTCTCAGGGTGGTCTTTCTGCAAGAATTAGTCATTCTGTGTCATGCCTTCTTTTCTTCATAGCGCTTATCACTCCTTGAGAATATCTGCAGACCCGTGGCTTTCACCCGTTTCTCTTCCCACCTTAAGAATCCAAGTTCCCAGGACTTTGGTTCACTGATGGGTTCCAAGTACCTGTAATGAGTGAGTGAGTCCCAGCTGCTCCTCCACGCCAGAAACCCAGAGACAGGTCCCATTCCCTGGCCCTTTGGTGCTTACTCTCCCAGTGAATGGCAGAAGAGTGAGTCCCAGTGTCTCAGGAAGTTTAACCCATGGCCTTCCCTCTCTCTGCCTGCTCCCATAGGGGTCCTGAGAAGCAATGGCCACAGAAGCCCCTGTGAAGCTAGCAGCACTCAAACGCAGCACTGCGGCCGGCACCTCAGCTGACAGCTTTGTCTGGCAGCCCAGCTCACTCAGGATGCACGTCATCAGGCCCAAGTCTGCCAAGGGCCGGAAGCGGACGAATCTGCACAGACCACAAGGCATGGGAGATGGCTCTCCTCGAGTACTGTCCTCTTCGCCTCCGCCACGCTCCTCTGGGTCGCCAAGCAGCCAGAAGCCAGGAGCCTCTGCAGCTGCCTCTCTGTCTCAGGGAGCCCCTGATGAGATGCCAGAGCTGCTGCAGCAGGCACCCATCGGGACCGCCTCGTCTCTCAATAGGTACCCAGTCCTCCCGTCCATCAACAGAAGGAACCTGGAGGAGGGGGCTGTGGACACAGTGGCCAGCAAGGCCAGTTCTCTGCAGCTGGGCAACGTCCAGGCCCTTTACCAAGAGGAGGCCTGCACCACTCTAAAGTCAAGCCAGAAAGACTCCAGAGCCCAAGTCTGTGCCTTAGAGAAGAAATTCATCACCCGAACCAAGAGGCAGAGTTCCGCCAGGGCCTCAAACTTGGAGGAACCATCAGACCAAGAGCCAAGACTGCTGCTGGCTGTCAGGTCACCCTCAGGCCAAAGGTTTGTGCGCTACTTCAGGCCCAGCGATGACCTACAGACTGTCCTCACGGTGGCTGAGCAGAAAAACAAAGCCACCTACCAAAACTGCAGCATCGAAACGATGGATGTGCCCAGGAGACGTTTCTCTGACCTCACCAAGTCCCTACAGGAGTGTGGCATCCTCCATAAGTCTGTGCTGGGCATCTCCCAGGAAGAGGGGGAAGGGTTGCCCTGAGTCCCCAGCACTAGGCTGGGGCCCCAGGTCTTTGAGCAAAGAGCATGTTGGGCGGGCTGAAGCCTCCAACACAGCCTGGTTTCAAGTGCCACATGAGCCCAGTGCAGCTAAGACCCTAGGGCCTTGTCTGTATAGCATGTCTTTGGAGGCATGGACTCATCTGCAAACTGGCTGAGCCCCCTGGGAAACTCCTCTCTAGCCCCACATTCTTTCTGGCCACCACAGGGAAGTTCTACAGCTTTTCCTAGACATGGCTGCGGCCAAGACTTTTCTCTTCCACAGCTGCCTCCTTCCAGAACTGGTTCTTCCTGGAGCACCGGCTGCCGGCACAGTGAACTCTGGGTCTCTGAAAGCCAACACCTTGCCTTTCTGGGATAAACTCTTCCCAGAGAGGATTCTAGTCTAGTAAATAACCAGGGTTTGGGAATTATGGCGCTGACATTGGCATTTCTTGCAACATCGTAAGGAAGAGGCTGATGATCCTGTGTTTGGAAGCAGCCTTTCTTCTGAGCTGCAGGAGCAGATATCCCTGGGGAGGCTTGCTGGTGTAAGGTGACAGCAGAAGGGAGAACTGTCTTCTGTTGTCACAAGTCCCCCACCACACCCACATTACTGAAACGTCTTAGAACTAGCCAGGATAAATTGCCTCTATGGTCATGGACAAGCCAGGGCTACTTCTGAACGGTCTGACAAATAGTGCTTCTTGGTAGAGCCTGTCTATGGGCAGAATTCTTCCAACAATGAAGTATAATGTGCAGTCCTCTCTTGTTTTTAAGATACACACTGCTACACATCTGTACAAGTTTGCACTGACAGCCCCTTGGCCTACCTGGGCATAGGTAAATTGTTTTATTTTCCTGGTCTCAGTGTCTCACCCAAGTCAAACATGGAAGGTCTTTGGTCCAACATCAATGCATCCTGGTCCTCCATAGGAGAAGGAAGGTGGCTCTTTCCTGTGCTCCTGTTGAGACCATGCTGAGCAGCTACCTGTCTGGTGTGGAGTGCCCCTGTATGCCTTAGCCAGAGCTGTCGAAAGCATTGTAGAGTCTTGTTTTTCCTGGAGACACAGATCATTTGCCAAAGTTCTCTTGTATTGCAGGTTCAGCCAGACACCCACAACTCATCTGCATCTCTTTACGGCCAAATCCCCAGTTGGAGTCAGGAACACTGAGATGTCCTGGGCACCTTGTCCCCCTCAGAGCACAAGAGCCACATGGCCTGGGTACTGACTGGCACATGCCACCACACCCTTAGTTCACAGACAAGGTGCCATGGAGGAGCTCCCAGAGCATCCCCAAGTGTTGCTATTGCTACCTCAGCAGCAGGGGCACCCTGTGCACGGACAGCAGGTACAGGTGTCCCTCCTAGCACAGTGCCCCTTGGTGAAAGCAACAGTTACTCTGGATGGGCTCCTCCTACCCCAGCCACCTCCCACGCCACACCTCTAGTCTAGGGGATTGCTGAACACTTGCAAGCTTTTCCATCCTGCCTAGGTTAGTGGTTCCCTCGATGGGAAAGGTCAGCTGGGACTGGCCTTGATGTGGGCAGGCCCATGCAGCTGGCCCCCTCCTCTGGTCAGTGACCGTGGCAGAAGGTGTTGGTGGCTTGAGTTTGGGTCCCATCCCCCAGTACATGTATTCTGCTTCCCACCGAGCGCTCAGTTCTGCCCCTGATCTAGGAGCCTATAAAAATCACACCTACTCTTTGGTAAGAATAAAATCCCACCCACCTGCAGCTTGGTGATTCCAAGCTGTAGAATGCTCCAGTGAGAAATGTAACATGCTTGATGAAGAGAGAAAACTGCATTTAGGGTTTTGCTGCTGCTATTTGCCTTAGAATTTGGGGGTGATGGGGGAAAAGGGGGAAACATGAAATATAGGAATATTTTAGGAGACAGGCTTAAAGCTAGATTTGAGCCATCATAATAATCTCCTTTTTTTTCTTTTTGAATAAAAGATAATGATATGAACAATAAAAGCTGATTTGTGTGAAACACTGTGTGGAGGAGTCCGTCTCATGTTTTGGCCCAAGACTTGAGCCACCAGACAGGAGTGCACAGAGTGGCACGTGAATCTCATCTTCAGGTGTCGCCCTGGAAAATCACCTATCCTGCCTTTGCAGCCGAGGCTCCCCCTCACACACTCAGACTCCCACCACGGACGCCGGGAAGAGTCCCCTCAGAAACCCCTGTGGCATCAGGGGCACTCTGGTCCAATGGGCCCTGCTGGGTCAGAACATTCATCTTCATGGCCTTTGGTAGGCTGTCCTTACCCGGTTTGTGGTCCCACACCGTAGTCATTCACCAGACCAACAATCAACTGAGGGATCTCTCCGGGGACAGAGTCATGGTTGTCATGAGTAACCCCCAAAAGACTGTAAGCAAGAGAATTCAAACCCACAACTGGATGCTCGACCCAACTCCCCTGAGTCGGTGGCTCAGTGTGTCTGTGAAAGGCCCAGAGTTGGGGGAAGGGTCACACTTCGTCCCGCTGTGTCTTCTTCCTCCCGCTTCCAAACACATCATCTCCACATTTCCAGTGGCGCTATTGGGAAGATTGCTCATTGTGGGGACATGGACTTAGCCAAGGACAAAGCTTTGCAAGTGATTCCAGCATATTGTCCGACAAAGCCAATAGGTTCATCAGTATGGGCAGCAGCAGGAACAGCGGGAGAAGAAAGTGACTCAACACCTACCTCATAGCCAAAAAATTTACACTAACAGATGGCAGGTGGCTCTGACATAGCCCTTACCCTGACTGCACCTGGGGATGTGGCCAACAGCCAGGCCAGAGTGGTCCTGTCAAAGAGACAGCTTGGAAACAAGACTGGGTTATTCCGGGTGACTGAGGCGGGCAGAGCCCCAGCCTCCCACAGGTAGATCCTGGAGAACTGAGCTTTCATGTCTTATTGCCATCTTAAATGAGACCCGTGTCAAAGGCCCAAGAAGTTTCTCCTTATGGTTTTTTGTTTGTTTGTTTGTTTGTTCTTCACTGTAAAGCTGGGATAAGGGAGTGCTCAGTTTCTTGGTGTTTGAGGTGTCATTTGAATGAACCTTTCATGTAGTGGGATCCTTTCCTTTACCTTCTAAGAGGATTCCCTGGATAGGCTTCTGGTTTGACATCAGCTTGGAAGTCTTTTATCAAACAGGGCTACCTATTTCCTTCACCCACAGTCATATATCACAATGGTGTGGTGGCAGATAAAGCCTGCAATCCTACTTAATCACCACACCAAAACTGGCCAAGTCACACCATGGTGGGTTAGACTCTAGTGACTCTTCCTGGGCAATGGAAGCAGAACGGACTTTTGGTGAGTCAGTTACCAACATGCAAGTCAGTAGTTCTCACTATAAAAATAAAATCAGATGTTTTCCTCTTAGGGATGTCCCTCCCAGCCCATTCTGACGTCCTTCTGTCTTCCTGTAGACTCAGGCATCCAGGAAGCATCCGCTCTCCTGAATAGTCAACGCAGAAGAGCAAACCAAGGTATTTCTGGACACTTAAATTCTATCCTAAAGGGCTCAGCATCCACTGTGACAAACACTGGTGGGTGAAATCCAGCCCCTGCTGGATTTTCAGCCTGCTCTGGCTGGAGGGCCACTCTAGCTGCTCGCTGAGTCGACTGGGGGTTAGAGGGGCTGAGGTAGCCGATGGAAGATCAGCTCCTGGAGGTAGAGTCACCAGGCAAGGGATGTGGGTGGTGGCTTAGGCTCCTGGGAGGTGGCCAGATTCAGAGTATACAATCTCTTCACTTTGGAAAGAGAAGGAAAAGGGTATAGTTGACAGGCTTGGATTTCCTTGAGTTGGTCTGACTATTATCTCCAGTGTGGGGTTCTTGCAAAGACAAACACAAGAGTACTAAAACTCACTGCAGGCAGGAGGATGGCCCTGAGCATCTGCGGCACACGTATGAGGGGAAAGACACAAATTGTTTATGGATGAAGTATGTGCAGAGAAATAAGTCCATTAACCTTATTCGATAAGGAGAAATGCACTCTCAATGATCCCTGGCTCACCCAATGTTCAGGTTCAAGTTCACACGAATTACCACCTCCATCCAGAGTGTGATTCCTGACCAAGGTTGCTTTGGAAGACACGTGTTCCCAGGAGGATTATGTGGATTCCCTGGCTCTTCTGTTTCTCCCTCCCTCGATGCCCTTCGTTTCATTTATCTAAATCCTGAGTGTGCGTGTCATCTCAAGAGGGTCCAGTGAACGTAATTAACAAGCATCTTAATTTTATAACGTTCACACCTGTCTGTTGACAATGAGGGTTCCACGGCTTTGGGTCCTGGTCCTTTGATGGCCAGCTGAAAACTCACTTTTCTGATATCTGTCCCTTGTGACAGGAGACGTGTCCTCTGGTTCATGAGCACCTCCAAGCAGATAGCTTGAGTCTGGTTGAGCTCTAGCCCTGTTAGGAACAATCCTAACACTTAAGGAGAAACCTGAAGAAACGGCAGCAACCCTCCTCCCGGTAGGGAAGTACAGTCTAGAAACTGCTATCCACACCCCACCTCTAAATCCAATTAGGGGATGGTGTGATGTCCATTCTGACCAGACTCAAATATACCATATCCCTGGGTCCCAAGGTCTGAACACTGATGCTCTATAGGGATTTCCTGCATCCAGACCTCTGCCCCTGCTTGTTCATTTCCTCTCAACAGAGTTCCCAAAAGGCCTCCATTGTATTCAAATCCATAATACATTAATTCAACATAATACATATATATAGACATAATACATCATTCAATATATATTAGGTACATATATACCAAGCATATGAGACCTATCAGGGAACAGAACAGGCTCTAATCTCATACTTAAGGAAGTTACATTTGATAGAGGGGAGACAGGAAGTAAGTGAAAGCCATAATGCATGACACAGAACTGTAGAAGGAAGAATAGAAGACAAGGAAAGGCCAGCAGTAGAATCCAAACCAAGGGCCCGGGCGGGTGGCTGCACAACTCATGGTAAGTTGCTAGCTTCTGGGACTCCAGCCAATTTTCCTTCCTTCCTTCCTTCCTTCCTTCCTTCCTTCCTTCCTTCCTTCCTTCCTTCCTTCCTTCTTTCCTTCCTTCCTTCCTCCTCCTGTCCCCTTCATGTTAGTTCCAGGTAGCCTTGAACTTGACACAGAGCTGAGGATGTCGTTGAACTTCTGATTTGTCTGTCTCTGTCTCCCAAATGCTGGCATTATAGGTGTGTGTGCCACCACACCCAGTTTATGCAGTGCTGAGCGTCAAACCCAGGGCTTGGCATATGCTAGGTGAGCACTATGCCCACTGAGCCACGTCTCCAGACTCTGCTTATTTTTTTCCCAAAAACAATAATTTTATTATCAAAATATTATTAAAGTCGATGCATCATCTTTATTATACATTATTTTTCCAGGCAAAAGAGAGGTAGTAGGGGCTCGTTCGTAGACTCAATTAGAGCCTGCCCTTCAAACAACAGTTAAGTTGTTTTGGTGATGTGAAAACTGGAAAGTATAGAGAAGGCTGACAGGGGAAAGAAAATCATCCAAACCCCTCTAGTCAAAAGACTGCCATTGTTAATGTCTCCGCATCTATTTTTTTTTATTCTCAGAGATTAAATTGATGTTGCATGTTGCTTTCTTGCCAATAGACACACACAAATATTTTTTAACATTTCTGTTCCAAGCGAAAGCTTGCATGTTCCCATCCCAAGTTTCTATGGACTCAACTATTTTAAGAGTGAGTAATACTCAGCCTATTGATGTCTTATCATCATTGAATTATTTCCTTTTTATGAAGCGTTCACACACTCCCAGTTTTGTTGTTAAACATAGAAGTGAAAGCTAAAATTCATTTATGTAGCTTTTTCCCCCCATTATTTCTTACATTATTTCTTTAGGATAAATATCCAGAAAGACACTCAAGGATTTTACTTTTGTTTTTCTCTGTATCCCCGTGGCCCAGACATGCTTTGAGCTCTTGCGCTCCCTGCCTCAGACTGAAGGAGACAGGATTAAAGACCCCAGCCTCCAGGTGCAGAGGCCTTTTGCTTTTCAAGTGGCTACAGAGAAAAACAAACAGGAGTGCAGGCTAACTATTGCTTTTTAATAATTTCCCATTTTTAAATTGAAAACAGAAACTAAACATTTTTCTTAATTTTGGATATCACCGGTTACTACTGATTATTAACATTTTCTGTGTCTTTCAATTACACGTGCGTGGTGTGGTGTGTGTGTGTGTGTGTGTGTGTCCAGGGTTGATTCTAGGATGGAAGCCTTCAGACTTACACTGCAAACAGTGCAAAAAGTGCAGAGAATGCACTTTTAAAACTAAAATGGAAGCTCAACAAGAGTTCAGCAGTTAGGACTGCAGAGATGGCTTAATGGTCAGGAATACTTGTTTCTGTTCTAGAGAATCAGGGTTCGAGTCCCAGAACACACATGATCGCTCACAACTGTAATTCCGATTCCAGGAGATCGCCTGACCTCTGATGATACCAGGCATGCATGTGGTGCACAGACCCACATGCAGGCAAAGCACCATTCACACAAAAATAAATAAAATTTAATTAAAAAAGAGTACTTGCTGTTCATGTGGAGAACCCGGCTTCAGTGCCTAGAACCTACATTGCAACTCGTAACTGTCCGGATCTAGTTCTAGGGCCTCCTCTGCCCTCCAAGGGCACCGCACACAGCGTGTTCGCATACAAACCCACATACATTACATACATACATACATGCAAGCAAAATACTGAGACACATAAAAAAATGATTTTTTTTTTCTGAGTGTTGTGGTGCACACCTTTTGTCCCAGTACTTGGAAGGCAGAGGTAGGTGGATCTATGAGCTCCAGGTCAGTCTGGTCTACCTAGTGAGTTCCAGGACAGCCAGGGCTACATAGTGAGACACTCTGCCTAAAAAAGAAACAAACTTAAAACCAAGTTTTTTAAAAAATTAAAATAAAATATATTCTGTGTGATGAATAGTAAGGAGAGTAGCAACAATTGATGA